ACGCATCTTCCCTCTGCCTTGCTCTGCGCCCGCCCTGGGCAGCCACACCGCCCTCTGGGGACCCATCTCCCCACTGAGTCCAGCCTTCATGACGAGCACTGGCTAGCAGGACAGGGCTCAGGCTCCGGCCTTTTATGGGCCTGCCAGCTCACACTGTCCCCAGCCGGGGCAAGTAAGCGCGACCCCCGAGGCAGTGGGAGGAGATGACTCAGGCTGGGCGACTGCATCCCAGCACGTGTCAGCTGGCCTGGGGAAGGGTCACCACTGTACTCAGGCAACTCTCGCTGCCCAGCGGAAGCCTGGGAGGAGCTCTGGGGTGACTGTCCTTGCCGAGACATGCAGCTTGGTCACCGCCCCTTCCTCCAGGAAGAATGATTCAACAGCTGCCCTGAGGCTGAGCCACCTCCCCAGCTCAGCTTCCTGCAGGGAAGGGGAAGGACCCCCAGCTACCTTAGGCTTAGAAATCCAGCAGGGCCCACCTCCCGGAGTGTAGCGGGCCCACCAACCACGTCTAACCCTTAAGCATGTTTGACCCATCTCCTGTTTCATATGGAATGACCGTTGTGAGCATTTAAAAATCAGATTTTATTTAAAAGCTCCTGTTCAATTTCTCTTGAGAAGTCAGATCTAGTGTCACTGGGCCACACTCTGCCCAACACTGTGTATGGCAGGGGGCAGCGGCCTTGAGGCGGGCCCGCCTGGCAGCAGCTGGGTTTGTGACCTCAGTACCCGAATCTGTTTCCTGGGTCTGCTGTGACAGAGTACCACAAAGTCAGTGGCTTCAAAGAGCAGAAATGGATCCCCGCGTGGCTCTGGGGCCAGAAGTTAAGGGTCAGCAGGGCCACATTCCCTCCTGAGGCTCCAGGGAGAACCCATCCTTGACTCTGCTGGGGCCTGGTGGCTCCACGTGCTCTGGGCTTGTGGCCGCAGGATCCGGTCTCTCCCTCCAACTTCAGGCGGCCTTCTCTCTCAGCTCTCCCTCTGCCTCTCTGAGAGGGACCCTTGGCATTGGACGTAGAGCTCACCTGATAACCCAGGATGTGTCATCTCTAGGTCCTTAACCTGATTACCTCTTCAAAGACCCTTTTCCCAATAAGTTTACATTCACAGGTTCCCAGGGACTTGATGTGAGCATATCTTTGGGGGGCCACCATCCAGCCACTTCACGCCTCAGCTCCCTCCTCTGTCAAACAGGAATAATCACAACAACGCCTTCTGCACAGGCTGCTTGAGAGACTGAGGGACGCACTAGATATCGTTAGCGTCATTCCTAATCTAGGAAGGAAAAGAGCCGCCCGCAGGGGCCACAGTGGCAGGGGCCACAATTTGCACTGAAATCTGAGCTGGATTTGGCAGTGGAGGGAGGGGCATGTGCCCAGGAAATTTGCCCCTCAGGCCGCAGCTAACAGCCCATCCTCCATCACCTCCCACAGACAATGGCCCCGTGGGCAAGCGGCGCACGGGCACCGCCACCGTGTTCGTCACCGTCCTGGACGTGAATGACAACCGGCCCATCTTCCTGCAGAGCAGCTACGAGGCCAGTGTCCCCGAGGACATCCCTGAGGGCCACAGCATCGTGCAGGTAGGTGCTGGCTGGTGGGCTGGGGGCAGGCAGGGCCGCACTTGGGTCTGAGTGCACGTGCTCAGTGGCATCCTGGCGGGGAGGGATGGAAACAGGAGCGGGTCCGGTTGCTGCCCGGGAGTAGCCAGTGCCGTGGGGAAGGGGGACCCAGGCCCCCTCCTCCCTGGGACAGAGTAGGACCCCAGGTTACTGTGTAATCAAGGACAGGGCCCTGGCTCCGCCCGAAAACACAGAAAAGAGGCGTTGGCCCCCTCTTCGCCCTCCTCCCCACAGCACTCGCCTTGTCCCACCCACCCAGGTGGGCCTTTCAGAGCAGAGAGGAGATGGCCTTGTCGCATTTTCCCGGAAAGGAGTTGAGGAGGGAGCCAGGGCCCAGCACTGCCCAGAACAGAGTGGCTTTCATGGGCCCTTGGCCGAAGCTCCTCTCCTGGGAAGCAACCAGGCACAAGAAGAAAGGGGGCAGACGCAGAGGGAGAGGAGGGCCTGGAAGTGGGGCCCGGGCCCTCCCATCACCCAGAGGCCTCTGCGCTGGGCAGGGGGTGGGGGGCGGGGGCGGGAATGAATTACCCTCTTCATCCGCGGCAAGCGTTTCCAGCTTGGAGGCTGAGCCAAACCCAGCAAAACTGGGCCTGTCCGCTGCAGCAGGCTCTGGGCTTGGGAGGCTGGGAGTGCGCCCAACACCCTGCCTCGGGACGAGGAGGAGGCAGGAAGGCACTGGGAGCAGGGTGCTGACGCCCAGAGGCACCAAGAGTCCAGAAAACCACGGGGATTTACAAGGGCTTGGCTGGTTCCCGGAGGAGGAGGGAGGTTCTCTCCCTCTGGATCTGTTCCTGGGGGCTTGGAGAGCCCCTCTTACCCGAACACCTCCTACCCTGGGGTATGGCCAGGCCTTCCCTTCTCCCTCAGGCCTCAGGGTAGCCTCACCCCCACCCCGGGTCTCCAGGAAGAGAACTCCTAGTGCCAAGCAGGGCACCTGGCCAAGGGGTGGCATGGGGGACTGACTGTAGGAGGAATTCGTCCTGGGATGTCTCAGGGAGACCCGGGGGGTGGAGAGGGAGGGGGTTACTGCCTGTTGTGAGGGGGCCTGCCCCACTTTCTAAACCCAAAGGATTGGTTTCTATTACACAACACTCCGCAGACCAATCCGAGACCTGCCAGGCATGTTGGACAGCCCAGTTCTCCCCGTTCCTGAGACGCAGGCACCGGCTTCTCCCGGAAATTCCCATCCAAGCAGGACTGGGACATCATCCCGACCTGGAGGAAGGGGCATGGGCCTCTCCACGGGGCCTGCTTGCAGAGAGAGTAGCTCCCTGGGGCGTCTGAGGGAAGACAGGACTCCTTAGGCTTTGGGGCAGGTGGATGTACCCAGATGGGGCCTCCCTTCACTCAGTAACCAGCCTCACTCTTCCGTGTCCCAGCGGGTGGAGACCAGTGAGGGGCTGGGCGCAGTCTCGCCCTCGGTGAGCTCCCAGGCGGAGGCGCGTGGCTTTGTGCAGCCAGCACTAGGGAGCAGCGATGGTTTGGGAGCTGGGAGGAGTGGGACCAGAGCTCACCCGCTGAGAAGACCTGGCCAGCTGCATTGTGGGTCATAGCAGGGTGGAGGCGGGCAGCCCCATGGCCAAGCATGAGATGACTCTGGCCGGCCCCTCAGATCCCCCTCTTCCCGTTCTCCAAGTGTGGGAGCCAACCACAGCACAGAGCCCTGGCTTTGGGAGGAGAAGGAGAGTTAGGGATTCTGAGAAGCCGCCCTCCATGGTATTGCTTAGACAGGTAGCCAGTCAGTGAAGCAATCACCCAAAAGATAGAACCCCGGTGTGGTCTAGGCTGTAAGTCCCATAGCTGTCCTGGAGAAGTCTGGACCCCCCGCCGCCTTCCCGGGGTGAGGCACGGAGCCACTGTGCTGTGTCCACAGAGCCCAGGTAGCATCACCCTCAGTGGCTGGCAGTGCCTCCTGCCACTCTGACACAGCACTGGCCTGGCTTCTGCAGGAAGGGTTAACCCAGTGGTTCTCAACCTTCTGGCCCTTTAAATATAATTCCTCATGTTGTGACCCAACCATAAAATTATTTTTATTTTCGTTGCTACTTCATAACTGTAATGTTGCTACTATTATGAATCATAATGTAAATATCTGGTATGCAGGATGGTCTTAGGCAACCCCTGTGAAAGGGTCGTTTGACCGCCAAAGGGGTTGTGACCCACAAGTTGAGAACCGCTGGGTTAACCCATTCTCGGCCCCTTCCTGGTCCATCCCACTACATGGGTGCGTTGAAGGGGAGCAGCCAGGGTCGCAATTGGCTGGTCAGTATTGGGAGCCCCACTTGCCCTCCCCCTGCAGGCACCCAGGCATCTGGTCTACCACAGGGTGCAGCTGCTCCCAGGGATTGCTAGGGATTGCTGGGCAATGCTGGCAGGGCCCAGGAAAGGCGAGAGAAGTCTCTGGGTTCCCCTCTGCCTTGGGCCCTGAGTGGGCCCCAGGGCAGAACCGGACCTTGTCAACAGTTTAGACTTGGCTGGAGGGAACCGTCAGCCATTCCACAATTTGCACTGAAATCTGAGCTGGATTTGGCAGTGGAGGGAGGGCATGCCTTCTGCTGGGAATCGGGCCCTGCTCCCTGGAGGCGCTTGGTGCCTGGTTGCCAGAGAGGAACCCTGGGGTCCAGTTGTTGTCTCCAGAGCCTCAGCCCAAGGTCCAGGCTGCCGCTTCCCACACGAGCCAGCAGTCTCAGCAGGCAGCGGCGGGAGGGTCTGCAGGGAGGAAGGTGTTCTCCCAGGGCTTCCTGGGAAAGGCCTTGGGCCTAGGCACACAGGGTGTCGGGGCCGCTGTCTTCCTGCAGCCTGTGGTGCCAGGCTGTGTCTGAGGGAGGGGGTCCGAGGCTAGATCCTGTGTGGCGGCGGGCAACCTGTCATATCTTGGTAGATTCCGTGCAGTCCCAGCCATGGCTGTGATCGTGGTCCGGCAGGGAGCGTGGCGGTGCGGGCCGGCCACGCCGGAAGCTGTGCAGGGAGCGGCGCAGGGAGCCCAGGCGCGTCCAGAGCCGGAGCTGGGGCTCGCTGGGGCTCCCGGGGGGGTGGGGCATGCGCTCTCGAGCCTGGCGGCTGGGGTCCAGTGCAGCCGGCTTGCAGAGGGTCATGAACAGCAGACAGGAGGCCAGCAGGAGGAAGATGCAGGCCAAGGCAATGAGCACGGGCAGGGGGGCCGCTGCGTCCACAGGGTTCCCCGGAGTGCCAGTTGTGAGGGGACTGGGGCCCTCCGTGCTCATGGCTCCTGCAACAGGTATGGGACAGAAGCTCAGAGGCAAATCGGCTGGACTCAGGCCTGGGGAGGGGAACATGGCGGGGGCTGGGCGCTGCTAAACAGCGAGGCCCACAGAGGCAACAGGCTAAGGTCACACAGCGGGAAAACGATGGAGCTAGCCTGAACTCGGGTCCTCTTCCTGCTGTCGCCCTGCCCGCCAGCAATGGAGGAGCCAGGACTTTAAAAATCAGTTCTCACGAATTACAATAGAGTCTTAGACCTGAAAACCTGAGATCTAAGACCAACTCCTCAATGACTTGCTCTGTGAGCAGGAGTGAGTCCTGGAGTGTGGGGTGCAAAGAACGTAGCAATTATCTGATGCCAGGGCTGCAAACGAGGGGCCCACCAGTGTGTTTTGTTTGGCTCTTGCAGTATTTTTACAAATTTAAATTGTGATTAAAAACCGCAAACAACAAAAAAAAAAATAAGAGATTTCACATAAATATCTGAACATCTTCTATCTCTTGAAATTTCAACACTGGCAACATGAGCCAATTATGCCTGGCACGCAGTAGCTGGGGCTGAGCAGCAGCTGCCTCCGTTAGATAAGGCACTGGCCCCAGCTCGCCACACTCCCCCAGGCCCACTGCACGCCTGATGCCACCTGCCTGGCCCCATGGTGCTTCCCGAGACAGCCCAGGCTCTCCCATGACGAGCGAGGAACTGAGGCCCACTAAGGGTAGGCCAGCCCAAGGACACACTGTGAGCCAGTGACCAAGGAAAAGGCCAGAACCAGGTTTCCTGACTCCTGGCCCCAGGGCCTTGCCAATCCTCTGGCTCCCAACCCAATCCCAGGGCTCACTGAGCTGCTCTGAGAACAGGTGGAAAAGAACTCACAGAGAACAACGGAGTTGACAGGGTGGGGCTCAAAACCCACAAATGCCAGTCACCTCTTATCACATAGGATGACACTAGAGGGAGCACAGCAGACGGTCCACAGACAGCTGCTAGCAGAGCCAGGCTGGTGGATAGCGTGTGACCAGAGGACAGGGCAGGTGAGCCTGTCTAGGAGGGGCAGGTGCCTGGGCCAGGCTGGTGGAATGCCAGAGGCAGGCCCAGTGCAGTCCGCCCTTCCAGTTCCCCACGAGAAGCCAGAAATCTGGATTGTCAGGCAAACTTTCCCGGGGTTTAAATGTTGGCAATGAATTCAAATTCAGTTAACGTGAGATTGAGAGAGAGGAGTGGGAGCTACACAAACACTTCGGAATGCGTTTTCAAATATTTAAAACACTACAGCAGGCCAAACAAAACACACAACGGGTGACCTCCCGCTTTGGAGCCAGCCTTTGTGATCTCTGACTTCCACAAACACAGGACAGGAAACCCCAAGGATGGTCCAATAATAACCACTTATTTCTCTTTGCTCTTGGAGACCTCGGTGAGCCTGGGGGTAGCGGATTTCCCTTCTTTCCCCAACTTGCAGCCTAATCTAACTCACAGTCGTGTTCCTGCACTTCCACTCAGCAGGAGGCGTTGCAGGTGGCCACAGAGGGTCCCTGTCAGCAGGCGGTAGGAAGTGGAGAGGGCCACCACTCCCACCTCCCGACCCCCACCCAAATTATATCTAACAGGGACTTGGGTCATGTGTAGCACTTTCTTTTGTTCCCTGCATCCCCATTCACCTTTCTTAAACTGTCTAAATTTTTTTTTTTTAAAAGCAGCTTATAAAACTTTGTGGAGGCATCCTAATAAATTGTGTTCCCCCCAGTCCCCACCCAGGCACTCACCAGCAGCCATAGGACCAGCTTCCTTGCTGCCTACAGCTTTGCCCTGTGCCCGGCCGACTAAGGGCATCCAGTGCACCCCACCCCACTTCCTACCCACTCCCTGCCACCACTCCTTCCAGCATTTCCAGGCAGAACGGGACCCCTCCCAGCTCCCAGCTGGAAACTCTGATGCCCATCTAGCTGCACAGGACCTCCGCCTTGCAGGCATCGCCTGGAGGGCACTCTGGCCACGGGCTGTCCCTTCCCTGAATCTGAGCGTGGAGGACAGATGGCGTGTGCCCACCGCCATCTCCCATGGAGAAAACCTGGCTGTCCCTCACTTCCACCCTGGCGGGCTGGGCAGGGTGGGAGAGCGGGCGCCTCCTTCCCTCTCCCGCTAGACCTGGCTTTGTCTAGAAGAGTTTGGGCTCTGCTTGGCTGGGAGGAAGAAAAGCGCAGTCTGACGCGGAGAGTCTCAGTCCCGCTAACCCTACTGCTGCTTCGAGGCCTTCACGTCATCTGGAGACCTGGTGAGGCCAGCAGAGCAGGTCCTGGCTTCAGTGCTTGGGAAGCACTCTAATGAAGAGACGCAGGAGGCTGTGATTAGCATCTGAGTCATTCCCAGCAAGAGATTCCAAAGTGCTTGAGAGCATCAAACCCCCTGCCTGGGCACACGCCAGGCCAGCTGCCTGGCCCTTGGCCCTTCGGTGCCTCTGAGCAGCCAGGCCAGCTGGTTCCGGGAAAGGAGGTCTCCGCCAGACCGAGGCGCGGAGCCTCCCTGAGGGCAGGGCACCCGGCGGCCCTGCTCTGGCCATAGCTCTGAAGCTTAGTCCAGAACCTTCTGTCTTGCCTCGGAGCTCCATCGAGCAGGGCCTCGGAGCACATGTTGCTGTTTGGCTTCGGACTAGCCACTGCCCCCATGAGGCCTTCCACTCTCCACAGAAGCCCAGGGCCTCCCCAGTCTGAGCACACCCTACCC